TATATGTCGTGAGTTATTGTGTCGTGCTTAGAATGTATTGTGTACGAATTTGTCGCGTTCTGTTTGTTCACTATTCATTCACCGTTTTTGTTATGCGCGCACAGCCATATCTAAGCAACACGGTTGAATGTCAGAAAGATAAATATTTCCACAATAATTTGTTTTTTAGATTATTTCTCGATAATTGATTAGTCGAGAAAATGCCACTCTCAACAAATATTCGAGAGAGGACTACTCTGAACTGGTCTGACAGAGATCGGACCAGTTCAAGGCTGGAAAGATCTCAAGCTGTAACCTGCTTGAGTTTTCAGAACAGAAATAATTATAATGGAATTAAATTGAAAAAAAATTCATAGTATGCGTTTTCAGAAGAACCAATAAAAAATGTGCCGCATGTGTTGTACGAAATGTGTCGTGCTCTTGGTGGACAAAATGTGTCGCAACGAGCACCACGTATCGTGCTTTAATGTGTCGTGAATGAATTGTGTCGTAAACCACGACACATGCGACACATTTTAACTTAGTGTGTAGCATCAGAAGATGGAGTTAACCGACGCTAAACTACTTAATGTATATGTATATTCTGTTGATTCCGTTTTGTTCTGTTATGTCGTTTGTCGGATAACCGACTCACATGATTGGTTTTCCTATTATACGTATATATTATTTTTTACTTGTTAAAAAAGATATTCTTATCATCGTCATTCTTCTTATTGTTGTTTTTCTCCGAGAATATATTTCGTTATTACATTATCAACATCTTTTTTCACATATACATCAATAGCTACATAACGATCAATGTATGTAAGCTAACGATTTATATATATGTTATAGTGATAAGCTCTATCATATAGTCCCCATACGAAATGTAGAGCTAACAAAAAAGTCTTTTCGTATATGCTTCGATGCGTCTTTATCGCTTCCTTCCAATGGTTAAAATCACGGCTCTCTACATCATTCCCTTCAAAAGTTATTCAAAAAATATTCACTCGCTTTGTTTTTAAATGAGCATTAGTTAATTTTTTCATATGATTTATGTTGCTGTAACTCTTAAATCAATGAACAATAGAAATAACTGCTCTAGTGAAACATCTTGTAAGCAAAATTTTGATCAAGATACAAAGTATAGAAAAGTGAATAGATCTTGGAAATTTAAGTGCAAGATAATCACACTATCTGGTGTCAAGATCTGTGATTAGATCTTAGGTACGGATTTGTAAGATGTTGGTAACAGATGTTCAGTATCTTCAGTTTGATATCTTGTCTTTTATCATCTTTTTTATTGATCTTTGGTACAGATAATTATATCTTGGATAATGATAATCAAGATTTTCAAGATATTCAGTCAATATCTTGTTGTCTAGTTTTTATTTAATACTAGAAATATCTATCTGAACATGTAGTGTAAGTTTAGTTTCCATCAAAAATAGTACAACAAAAAAAAAAGAACTACAAGAATACAAGAAATTGTATAGTTCACATGAGCAAATTTCATAAGTTCAAAAATATGTCTAGTTATACAAATTGAAGCAAAGTAAAAACTACAGATAAAAAACCTGGTTTCATGTTCTATTATTACTAATTGCGTCTAATTTTTTTCATACTAACTAAACTTTACGTCTCTAATTGTTATCCTTGTTCGTCATTATTCACAACTGTTGAAGAATACACAATTGTTGTCACACAGGTCGACGATTACGGACTTCGTATATGGCTGTAAACGACCGTATGTCGTCGTGACCCGTATACGAAGATACACGATCACATACGAAGCAAAACGGAGACTGTGTACGAACTCCGTATACGACACGAAGATATACGATCGTAATACTGGATCATGTAAATCGTCGTATTTCCTCGATATACAGCCGTTTACGACCATGCTTGTTCGATCTGGATACTGATGCTGCATTATCATTCGATCTTGATTTTTATTTAACGGTATCACATGGTCATTGTGATATTAAATCGATGATCATGTATGTAAAAAAAAATATCTGATAAGTTAAACATTTATATATAAAAATCTAGAAGGAAAAAATAATTTCAGCATTTCTGATCTCTATACGATCTTAGAATAATCACTATAGAAAAAAGTTAGTCAAAGATTTATCTAAATTAAAGATCTCAGTAACACTAAGATCTAAAAAATCTTTTATTTTATCATTTTTCAATAAAAACCTTATCCTTGAAAAAATTAAATTCTAAACGATCCTGTGTCGTAACCTGACACCAGTCATGTTCTCAAAAAACATCAATCTTTCATAACTATTCACTAGATTAGCCGAGAGAACTTTCTTCATGCACTATAAATTTTGTGTAGCTGTCGTTTTCTTCTCTCGTTGTCCTTTATAACTTTAATTTTATTGGTTGACAAGTACTCGCTACTGTTGCAAAATTTTTTACATATCTCTGAGACTGACAAATTAATATGATTGACTTTTGGAAAAGAGTCAATCGCAATTAAAGAATTTTTAAATATGTAAATAAATGAATGACGTCACTTTTTTTATTTTATTCATGATCTTGGGAAAAGATCATGACAAATGATATCTTTTCTATGACCTTGACATGTGAGAATCTTTGAACCGATCTTGCCAAGATCTTGGCTACAGATTTATCTGATGCGATTAAGATATACACAAACAAATTATCTTTTCGAGATCTCAATAAAATTTTTGTTACAAGATGTTGCACTAGGGTGGTTAACTTAACTAATGTCGGAATATATGTTGTTATTGTAGTTTCAATGTTTGAAATTATTAGCATGGAAAATGAAAACATAAACATTCGATTACTAAAACGAAGATGACATTCTCAACCAATCGGAAAGATACAATTAGGGTACAGGTGTACGTGTGTCTTGATACGTTCTCGTCGCGCTCACCTACCTACACTTTGAAAACAAAAATATATAGAGAATATATATATGATTCACGTTAACTTATTCATTAATGTCCTTCATCTTTGCACTCCATACAAAATACATTTGTTTTCTTATGAATATTAATTTTATAAATGAAATAAACATATTGAACTCTGTGTCATCAACTAATTAATTATTTGTATTGTTTCAATATTTGAATAAGTCGACATATTTATCTTTCGGCCAAAGTAGGATTTATCAAATAACTTTATATTTGTTTACCAAAAGAAAAACAAGTGAATTTATGTGTTAAATAAAGTTCTGCAATTCAATGCAATTCCACTATTAATTGATTTTATTATCGGTCAAGAAACTCTATAGGAAGAAATAAATTTCTTTTTCTTTATACACTTCAACATAAAGTGACCCATTCCTTTCTTGTGTCTACGTAACTCATAACTTGATAATGTTATCTTTGAAAAAAGAAGAGTAAATTTAATAAGAATGTAGAACAATTAACAATTTCAAATTGAAATAAATATTTGAAAAGAACAGAAAAACTTACGGGTAAAACATTATTAAAAACTAAAGTTTACAAAAAGAACTTTATTTTATTCATATATATATAGGGTGTCTCATAAATAGTACTACGCTAAAAAATTCAAACGTTTCCACTTCAATTCAATTAGATCGGCTGATTTTTTGACTAGTGATAGAACTTTATTCAAAATTTTTTTTATATGGATAATGTAAGGAAACACTTCTATTAAGTACTATTGTTGACCTCACTAAAGAAATTTTATCTGTTATTATATAAGAAAAATACATATGAAGGCTTTGATAGATAATTTTTAGTTGTTACTTAAGAAAGGAACAAGAAGAAATCAAAACAAGTTCTATGAGTGATATAGCACTAATGCAAATAGACCAAGTTTTCAAGAGTAGTTAATTTAAAAACCAACAAGTACAATATTCCGAATTTTCAAGCATGAAACACTGGCTTTGTCGAAGAAGTTACTGATTCAATGTCCAAAGGACTTTAATTGTGCGTTTTACTTTTCAGACACGACTTGTGGTATTTAAAAATGCTAGTTCTAAAAATTTGGTCTATTTACATTAATGCTATATCACTCATAGAACTTATTTTGATTTCTTCTTGTTCCTTTCTTAAGTATCAACTAAAAATTGTCTATGAAAGCCTTCATATGTACTTTTTTTTAAGATGCAGACAATTCAAACTTCAAGTAAAATTTGTTTTTCGCAGTTTTTTTACATCACTTGATAGAGCGTGATCTG